AGTGTCCATGAATCCAGCCTGGATAAAAGCACTCTTCCTCCTTCAGTTCCTCTCAGTGAAGCTAATTCTGACCATAAAACACTAGCATGCTGCTAACGCGTGCTGATTGTGCTGTTAAGGTTTTAGGACAGGTGCCTGTTTCCACAGTTAAAGCCCAGCAGGAGCTCCAGGTGTGCAGGACGAGCTGCTGTGGCCATTTCTGTTGAATGTTTATAAATCGCAATTTGTATTCATTTTTGTTTTTTCTTTAAAGTTGTAAGAATATGCTGACCTAGTTTTGTTATGTAAATTTGTAATGAATTAATTGGAAAAGTTTTTGGGAAGTGATTGGTTTATTAGCTCATGGACCCTCTCATTAATCAGGGGATTAAGAGCACCCTGGAGGGGTGTGGTAAAGATGGTTTTTGTTTGCCAAATGTCAGATGGGACGACGGGAGGGTTTAAAAACAGATTTTTTGAGCACTTTTTGAACTTGTGAAAGCAAATTAACTTAACTTTCGTTTAATTTTAGGTTGTAAGAAATTATTTGGTTGACTTTTGTTTATAATTTTCCTCGAAATAAACGCCATATGATTTTAAACAATGGAAGTGCTCAGAAGTGCTTTCTAAAAGAAACCTCCCGTTGCCACCCACAGCCTTTTCTTGGACGCTTTTGGTGTTTGGAACATAAAAGGCCGTGACAGGAGCAGCGGGGTGAAGGTGACGCTGTCAGGAGGCTGCTCGCTTCATGCCCCAAACCAAAATGGAGGACGCTGTAAAGCGCCTCGCAGTGCTGTGACGTCGCTAACAAAAAGTGTTTACTGCAGGAGAAAACCTGTGAAACACCTAAAGGTGGAACCATTTCTGCTGAGCTCGACAGCGCCCCCTATGGAGCAGGAAGTCCACAGAGCCCCTTCAACCTGGACGAGCTCGATGAAGTTAGAAATATCCTGTCTCAGAGTGACGCTGAAAAACTAGTTCATGCATTTATTACTTCCAGGCTGGACGACTGTAATTCATTATTATCAGGAAGTCCTAAAAACTCCCTGAAAAGCCTTCAGCTGATCCAAAATGCTGCAGCAAGAGTCCTGACAGGGACTAGAAAGGGAGAGCAGATTTCTCCTGTATGGTGCCGTCATCCATCTTTTATGTACAGTGTGTGGATTTGTGCAGCTGAAGCTCTGATGTCAGGCGTCTTCCTCACAGCACGTGTTTACTTCCTGTTTCATGTGAGAGGAAGCTCACACTGGCTCCGAGTTTGACTGGACATAAATATTTTATCTGATTTCTTATAAAAACATGTAAAAGATTAATTATGGATCTGTGATGCGCCTTGTGTTGCTGTGTCCTGTCCTCATTCGTTAAAACAAAGACTCATACTAAAACTGTGTGTGGTTTCCAGAGTGTGAAGATCCTGACGTACCGAGAGCCTCAGAACCCCGAGTACCAGGAGTTTGTCCAGAACCTGAAGGCAGATGCCAAGGACATGTTCAACTACACCATAGAGGACTCACTGGTCAGTGTGTGTGTGTGTGTGTGTGTGTGCGTGTGTGTGTTCAAACTGGACACTTTACTAGGTACACTTTGCCAGCAGGGGGGTGGAGCTTGTTTCTCCACACAGCTGCTGCAGATGTTTCGGCTGCTCTGAGGGTCTCTGACGTGTGAGGACAGCAGGTTTTATTTCACACATCCATAATTTTCTGATTAAAACGAGATGATGACAAAGTAAAAGGTGAACAGAGATGAGATCAATCAACAGAGATGAGATCAATCAACAGAGATGAGATCAATCAACAGAGATGAGATCAATCACCTCGACGCTTTTATCGATGAATAACCACGAGATGAAAATATTCTGGAGTGTGTGTGAACGACTGACCCTCTGTGTGTTTCTTGCAGATGAACATCATTGCTGGAGGCTTTTATGACGGCCTGATGCTCTACGCTCACGCTTTGAACGAGTCCATGTTGGCGTCCAACGAGCGTCCGAAGGGGAAGGACGTGACCCCGAGGATGTGGAACCGAACCTTCCCCGGTCAGTGCTCGCTGTTCGTCTCCTTTAAAGCTGACGCTTTCCATTTCCACCTTTGTGACGGAGGCTGTTTGGTGCGACTGTGCAGCAGAGCTGTTCTGCAGGTGTGTGTGTGTGGGGGGGGGGTCGTGGTGCTCTGTAAGTGACGGGTGGGGTTGGGTGAGTAAAGCTCGGTTGGGGGGATTGAAATGATGATGGTTTGGTGTAGGACTGGGCGATATGACCTCAAAATTCACATCTTGATATTCTTTAGCTGGATGGTGATATAAGATATAGATCTGCATATTTTTAAAGCCATAAAGTAAGAACAAACAGAGTTCTCAGTCACAGCTGTGTCCCAGATCTCACACAGAATTTCCCAGAGGAACCCACCCGAGGGATTAAT